GAATGGTCTGAAATTAGGGCTCTTACAAAGAAAATGAGGACGCAAGGTTAAGCCTTGAAACAACTTATTGTGCCTTCACTGGTTTTACCATCAGAATCCACATACCAAGATGACACCATCAATTTATTTTATTTTGTAAGTTTTTGTTGTAATTTATTTTAAATATTTGAAATATGCAACCATTGCTGCCCTCTTCATTTACAAACTTATGCCACCTTCAACCATCAAAGTTACGTCTCCTCCATGATTCAAAATCTAGCACTAATCATATCTTTTATTCTGAAAGACTCTTATGTTCGACCATTCAGCCCTCTTTGGTTTAAAATCTATCAGACCACCAGAAAACCTAACCTAACATCTACCTCTATCTGCCGTCTATGACAAAGATCCTCTCTTCTCTTACTTCCATACCCTAATCTCCAATATTAAGAGATCGTTATGGGTTTTGTTGATATGGAGAAGAAAACAGTGTCGTCATCCACCACCAGAAGGAGATTGTTATGCAGCCTTACTTTAGATCAAAGTTATGCTATGCCTATATTCCCTAATCTCCAATATTAAGAGATCTTATTTTTCTGTTTTGTGTTTGGTACTACTGGTTAGATTTGTGCCGGTGAGGTTTGATGCAGGTTTGATTTTGAGCTTATGCTATTGTTTTTTCTGCTTTAATTCTCTCTTTCTTTTTGTTCCTTTAGGTTGGAATTGTATATTTTAGATAATGTAATTGCGCCTTTGGATTGGAATTGAGTTTTTTAGATATTGATGATTTTCCTCTTGATTAACCAGGGTATGGTTCTAATGTTGGTGAGGTTTCACACAGGTTTGATTTTGACCATATATATGTTATTTTTCGATTTATAAGGTATGTTTCTGTCGATTTTGTTCTTCTTTAGATATTTGTTCTATTTTGTTCATGTTAACATCTTTATTGTTCTTTATTTGTTCATCTTTACATATCTATCCTTTTTTTTAGTTTGATTTTGTTTATCTATACATCTGGAAATGAAGACCCATGTTGTTGTTCATGTTTCTTAATTTATTTTTTATTTATATATAATTAAATTACTAATGAATAACTTTCTTTAAAATTGTCACAAACAGGGAAATGGGGTTAATGGATACTTAAGGAACTATTGTTTTACTTAGAAGAATGGGGTTAATGGATACTTAAGGAACTATTGTTGTACATAGAAGATCGGAAGTGGGGTTTATGGATATATGGGGTTTATGCAGCTAATGGCTCAATCCAAACAAAGGAAGTTTTTATGTACTCTTGAGCATATTTCCATATGTAGTCTAATAGCAATTTATTCTTTTCTTAAATTTATTTTTCTTTTCTTTCTGCAGCCATAAATGTTCAGAAGAATGGTGGGCTCCTAAAGTGGAAGTAACTTGTTATTATGAGTAAAGGTTAACTTATTCTGGTAAAGTTAGGTGCACAATCCTGACAAACCTTTCTCAATGATTTTGAAGTTTTATTTGTCATATTACAGAACATAAGTTATTGAAAAAGTCTATATATACACTTTCTTATATTCTACAGGTTTTTATGATGTTGGTTATGTACTTTTATAGTTGTGCAGAGGATTACAATTGGTGCAAAGATATCGGAAAGTACTAGAGATCATCAGTTTAGATATGAAATTGGCACAATCATAGAATAAAAGTTGTGTTTAATTTTGTTGTAATATAGAATATTATTTTAGTTTTAAAGAATGTAGAAAACGAGTTTTAATATAAGGATAAAGCTTTCATATGCATTCTTCTTTTAGTTCTTACAACAAAGAGAAATGGGTATTTGCGTATGGGAAAAGCTTCTCAAGATAGTTTGAAAAAATTAACAATTTATAACTGGTTTTTTCAACAATATAACTAACTATCCATGTATGTTTTAATGCAAAACATTAAAGGAACGGAAATTGCATTTCATAAATATATACTTGTTGTATAAAGTGGAACTCGGAATTAGAAGTAATTATAGATGGTTAAATGAAATAGTGATAAAGAGTTACTTTTTCATGTGAGAGGTTATGGGTTGAAGTTTTTTTTAGGAGACATGTGGTATTTAGATGGTTAAAAGAAATCGCCGCCGCCGCATCGCGCGGATACATTACTAGTATATATATATATATATATATATATATATATATATATATATATATATATATATATATATATATATATATATATATAAACCTAAAAGATTTTGTCAACTTAACTTGTTTTTGTGAATTTTATTTAATGAAAATATGAAAACGTATGATAGCAATTAACAGAGACACATAAAAAATTTACAAAATTCCAATTTTAATACACCAAAAAGTGATATTGGGGTAAAACCATTTATTTTAGAAAAACTTAATTGGTTTTTAAGGCAATAGCCCTAAAAATATTGCCTAATTCAAACCCTATAAGTGTAATGGTGAAATAACATACCGACTATGTTTTAAACATGTAAGTTTAATGGAAAAATAACATCAGTACGATTTATTCTATATGTACATCAATTGGTCGGTGTACCTTTGTATATGAATGTGTAAGCATGTATGGTTGTTTGACTTGTATATATAGTGTAACAACCATGAACAATTGTTCATATTTTAATCTTTAATTTATATCACCCCAGATATTTCATACAATACTTATTTGTTTTACAAGACAGCGTCATACTTTTATGAAGAATCTACGCAGAGAACTATTTGTATAAAAATTCCCTGAAAATAACTTGTACTTGCAGAACAAGAACATTGATATGAAGAACATATGCATATGTGTCTTGCTGTTCAATCTTCACTCTTGAAGGACCAGAAAAATCCTATTGTCACAGTCGAATTATTCCAAATACAATGATTACTCGTGTACATCAAGCTATTCAAATTCAATTTTACTTCTGTTTGTGTCATATCGATTATAACTAGTACTTCATCGTGATTTCAAATCATAGAAAACTCCTATGATCTCACTTATTGATTCTTACTATTGTACTGTTACAACAAGCATGTAGAAATATAATTAAAATTATATGTATAATTGTATATTGTTAATTACTGATTTCATGCTTAAAAGTTAAAATGGAGTTAGTGTGACAGCATTGATTTTCATCATTGAATTTAATTGCAATTTGACTTTTCCCCTTAAAAGTATTCGACTATGAACAAGGCACTCAATGGATGTTGTGAATCACTATTAGTGTTGACTTACGTCATTCAATCCACTTGCTTTTGAGGTCACCATAGCTTCACTACTAGTCTACGACACAAGGTCTTTTCATCATTTCACAAATTTTGGTCCGTTTTTTACTTCCATTTTCCATTATTCCCATTCTATCAATGCTTATATTTGCTTCATTACTGATTTCCAATTCACCAGGACGATGTTAAGTCTTTATATGTAACTGTTTCTTCGATGTTAAAAGGAATATGTAAATGGATAAGTTTCATGATTAAACATTAAAATGCATTTATAAATAGATAGATAAATACAAGTTTAATGAACATATGTACTATTAATCTAGTATGACAGAAACAATGAATTGTGGTTCAGTTTACCTCAACAGATTTCATTTCCTCTATGCTCTTGTCTATTCATTGTAATCTTCATTTCCTCTTTTAAAATTCCATAGCTTCCATCATCTTGCAAACTCATATCAAACACTTCTGAATTTGAAGCAGAGTGTTCTGTTCTACCATTTCCCCTCTTCGTATCTTTTCTCCAAATACTCCCACTATCTTTCTGATTGACTCCATCTTGACCCGAATCCAACCCTGTACGAATTCTCCTTCTACTATCCTTTTTCGTGGATTTCCTATTTGCGTTCCTTGAACTCTCGTCATGCCCATTTCTGAGAATCAAACCCGAATCATCGTCCGAAAAGGGATACCCAATACCTGTATTGTTTTTCTCAAATTTCATTGATTTCTCATCATGTTCATCTCTATGAACTAAATCGGGTTCTTCAGGCGAATACCCATCAGTGATTCTTCCGTATGGTTTGATGCTATGAACAACCCCTTTTGGGAAAAACCTAGCGGAGGGAATACCATCTACAGTTTCAAACAACTGGGGTCCATCTTTCTCGGACCATAAATCGAACCCACCCGGTTTCTGAAACCGGTCAGCCAAAACCTTCAATTGCTCATCGGCGCTAGTGGAAAACAACTTCGGGGCTTTCTCTACGACTTCCCAAGGCCGCTCGAGCTCCGAAATGGCGGCGCTTAGCTCAGCCCTTTTTCGCATTTCGTAAACCTGGCGTTCACGGGCGAGCCGAGCTCTGAGGAGTTGTTTAGCCTTCTTTGCTTGCATCCGTTTCCACTGCCACTTGGAAACGCCACCGGGGAATGTTCTCGGACCTCCGCCCATGCGAATCGTCGTTGATGGGGGTGGTTTAGCAATTGAGAGACGAGTGAAACTGGATGTCAGGAATAAGTGGGTGGGGTCAGACACAATCTGGGATGAGAAGGATAAGAGGGATGACGCAGATGTATGGATTGATAGATGCATCTGAAGAATCGGCGGCGACATGGCAGCGGAAGGTCGCCAAGAGAGAACAGCCGGATTTCCATTTTCTAGGATTGAGATAAAAGAATTATGGTCCAGAATTTGCAACATATGGTCCCTATACTCTTGTCTAATTGATGTTAACGGGTAAAAGATTTACTAAGACTAAACCGCAAAAATGGTCATAGATGTTCACAAAAGCTCATAGTTTTAATTTTTAACATTGAGGGGAGGGGTGTTGAGCTAATCTAGCTCCACCTCAACTCTAACAAGGAAGAAAGAGTGAGAAGTGAGGAAGAAGAAGAGAGGGGATAGGTCGCCGAGCGGGGGAGAAGAAAATAGGAAACAAGAAGTCAAAGAGAAGAGAACTTGGCAGTTGGTCGCCAAATCAGGCTTCCAAAATTGGCATGTCGAGCAAGCAAAGCAATATTCGTCGCTTCAACAAAAGTCCACTTTAATTTATTGTTTTGTTAGTCTATAACTCATCTAAATCATCTAAGCGAATGGAGTGGAATCTACTATTGAAGAAAGATATTTGCTTAACTCAGGTTTTCAGATCGCACTTTTTGCTTAAAGAGGATCGGAAGAAGTTGAATGTTGAGAAAGAAGGATTACATGGGTACCAACATAATGAACGCCATATAGAGAAAGTTGACCAATGGGAGATTCCCTTTTCGATTGGAGTTCTACGGTGGGAAAGAAAGTAAAGAGTTAGAGCTTAGAAATGAGAACTAACTTATAGGAGCAAAACCACTCGACCTACGTGAGAGGAATGAGTACCCTCTCTCCTCATTCAAAGAAGATAGAGGAATTCCCGATGATTGCTATAACTATAGCGGGGAAGTAGAAACTAGTTAGATCATGTTGACTTTTATATAGGCTCGACCTTCAAAGAGGGAGTAAAACCTTAATAGATTTTGACACTTTTCCTATACATTTCTAATATTTATATGTATATTAAAAAAGAGGGTACACCAAATCTTCCCACGCTTTCTTTTCAACTTTTATGACCTTCTTCCCAAGAACAATATCGTCATCGTCATCTGGTTTTGTACTCTCAAGAACCCCCGTTTCAAATTTCATGACCGGTCACCATGATTGTAATCATATATGAAAGTCGAGCAATATTGGAAGATATTTATTCTTTTAGATCCTCCAAACATCCTTTAAAATCCATCATGCCTTGCATCTCACCAATAAATTCATCCAAACATATTCATAATAATTATTGGAAGATATTTGGTTGTACACCCCAAAAAATATATAAAATATTTATTTCCACAGATTCATAATAATTGTTTTTCAAAACTCGACTCTACCGTTATTTCATAGTCACTAAACATTAACATTCAAACCCTCAGTTTACTTTAAAATCTTCTTTCTTTAACTTAATTTTTTTTTTTTTTTTTTTTTTTTTTTTTTTTTTTTTTGCATTTATATATACTTCTATTTCATATATTCTTCGTGCCGATGAAACTTTTATTGTATGTTTGTGTGTAGGGAAAATACCGGTTATAGTCATTTTTAAGGGGAATTTCAAAATTTAGTCATGAAAAAAAAATACATTTCTAGCTATAGAAATGCATTCTACGGAGGACCCTCTACGGGGCTCCGCGGAATGACGAATTCTCCACAGAACTATAAATGTTGTACATTTTTCGGTCTGAAAATGTTTGCTCGCATAGATACATCTGCGAAGACATTAAGCCCTTCGTGGAACGATTGTTTTGGATGCTCATTAAATACTCTATAGTTGTTACAAGGGCTCCGCGGAAGCCTTAACATCCCCGCGGAATGGGTTGTTACAAGGGTATTAGTGATTGTTTTTGTAATATAAATGATCGTGTTTTTTTTATCTATCTGCAATATTCAATCGGTTTTAGGGTTGAAATTTTTTTTCAAAGAAAATATGAGTTTTGTTATTTTATGTATGGGGGGGGGGGGGGGGGGTTGGCTGAAGAGTAATGGAATTAACACTTACATTAGACCAAATTTTAACAACTTAGGTTTACTGCTTCTGTCTAATTTTGATCGTCAAATAATGTTTGATTTGGTTAAAAGCAGTGTTGCAAAACTTGGCCTACTCGGCCGAGTACTCAGAATCGGCCCTCCACCGAGGCGAGTAATGTCAACTCGGCCAAAAAACTCGGATTTAGTCAAAATTGGCCAAAAATCGGTCAAAAATCGGTCAAAAATCGGACAAACTCGGTCAAACTCTGGCCTACTCGGTCTCACTCGGGCCTACTCGGTTAAACCCGGCCAACTCGGTCAAATTCAGTCAAAGGGTCAAAATTGTCATAAAAAGAGAAAAAAAATCAAGAATTTCAAGATTAATATGTATAATGCACTTAATGATTTATTATTTAACACAAACATGTGATTATTACTACATATATATCTTAAAATTTCAGTAATTATCCACATAGTGAGACAATTATGTATATTTCAGTTTTTATGTATTCACATGTATCTAATTTTGGTTATATATTTCAATCAAATTATGACTTTAACTTATGATTTTGACATATATAATTTTCCAAAAAATATTTCTACATGAATTACCGAATCCGAGTATTCCCCGAGTACTCGCTACTCCTTAGTCGGCCGAGCAGGTACCGAGTAGCGAGTTCTACAACCTTGGTTAAAAGTAAGGCTAATACGTTCAATAGTAATATATCATTTTCATTTCAACACCCAGTTCATGGGTATGTTATGAATATTGTATACGAAGCAGATGTTCATCAACTCAGAAATGTAATGTCTGAAATGAAGGAGATTGAGCATTTGTGTGTATATATATATATATATATATATATATATATATGTGTGTGTGTGTGTGTGTGTGTGTGTGTGTTTGAGGGATGGGTAGAACAGACAGAAGCGATTGACAAGATTGTACCATACAATGTTGAAAACATTGTATCTGATAATGTTGTAGAGTGTCCACAAGAAGAAACCGTGGCAATGAATACGGTGGAAGAAGAAATTTTATATGAGTTTGGAAGACTGCGTGGCAAAACTTTGTCAGGTGATGAAGCGTCAAATGAAGGTTGGCCGGAAGATGAATTCACACACGTAAAAAAAAGCTTCAGACATCTTTTACAGTATGCCTCCCATACCTGATTTTCCTGATTCCATTGTTAAATTTGGACCATTTCACAGATTAGGTCCAAATGATTGTAACGCCTGTGTTTCTGGGCTTGCCATTTTTAGCAATGTAATAGTCTAGGTTAACCTTTGTAACCCGTTTTGAAATAATAGAAGTGTATTATTTGAGTATTATGTGTTTTGTGTTTAATTGCTTAATTATGTGGTTTGATTAATTAAGAATAAAAATAAGCATCAAAATTTAAGTGTAAAATAAACTTGATATCTTTAGATAATGTTGTAGTAGTCGAAACAAGGTTTCCGAAGATATAAAGAATGCCGAAATCCGAGTTATAACGAGGAAGTTATGACCTGTCGAAGCTTCGCGATAGAACCGGCAACGCTGAATGACGTAAAAAGTGAAATTTACGTTAAAGCGATATTTAACCTTAGTGATCTAAACGAGAATTGAAGATCTCGTTGTTAGTATCAAAGCGATAAAAATTTAGGCGAGAACGGACGTCAAACGAAGAAGTTATGAATTTATAACGAAATTTTCTGTCCCGGCCTATTAAAAATAAATAATAAAAATAAATTCAAAATTAGCCGATGAAGTCTAAACGAAAGTTGTAGAGCGTAGTCTCACCTTCGCGTGGATATAAAGAACGTCGAAAACTAAGTTCGTATGAAGAAGATATGAATTTCCGAAGTTTATTAAATAATATGTATTTAATTTTAATTGGAAAATCCGGCCTTATCCGAAGGCGAGTCACCGGACTCATCCGAAGTACGCCCCGCGTACAGTGAAGATGTCGACACTCGCACTCGAGGACTTCGGATGACGAACGCAGTGACGATTTCGGACCAGTACGCCCCGCGTACTCCGAGGCATCAGCCTCCTATAAATAGGATGCGAGGCTGCCGAGTTTCTTTGCTATTTTCTCCATTCTCTCTCCCGTTTTGCCTCGATTTGTGTGCCAGAAATACCCCGAAGCCCCGGTAATATTCCCGAGTCCCGAGATCCTAAAGATCCCGAGAAGTGCGGTTTCCGAGCCGAAGCTCTGCCCACAAGAAGTTCAATTTTTGTAGAGATCTTCCAGATCTGCTGAGGATTTCTACTTTTGCAAGTCGTAGTGTTGTCCGATCATCTTCTGATCAAGTGAGTGTATACTACCTTTCATAAACGCAATAATAATACAAGTATGGTTTGAGTGTATTAAGTATATTGTTGTTTATACGTGTGAGTGCGTTGTTACTTTCTCCTAACGTATAATTATGAAGTATTTTATACGAGATACGTGTTATGTGTATATTTTGTTGTTATGTGTGTGAATGTATATTCACTTTCTTCTATCTTACAGATCTGATTATTTCTATATGAAATACGTGTTATGTGTGTGTGCCTCATCTGTTATATGGAAAATGTATTGATCAAGCATGCTATACAGGTTTTGAAAATATGTATAAAAATGTATGTTTTTATCTACTAATATGTTGGGTAGAACATGGGTAGATAGTTGGTGTGTAATAAACAGATGAGAGGCCTCGTTGTTGTTTTGATCCAGTCATCTAGCGGAATTTAGATGACGACCACGGACTTTTCTAGACAGTCTAGTGGAACGCTAGCAGGCTCATAACCTGTAGGTGTTAATGAACTTGGGTGTTCATTCGCTGTATTCCATCCCCCTCATGGTTGCCTTATTTGACTTATATTGCTGAGGAACCCCGCAGCATGTGTTGTCACCCGATGAAAATATTCTTAGATTAGGTCCCTTGTGTTAGTTATTTTAGGGACATAAAGTGAGAATAACGGAATGGGTAACTGGGTTATTGTTGGTTGATAATAATTAATTTAATTATTTATTGTGGGTTGAAAACCCTATATGCTCACCAGGCTCCCAAGCCTGACCCACTCAGTTTTATTTGTATTACAGGAAGTGGCGCAAGGGCGTAAGATGGATGAACCATCAAGTTGTTTTGTTTACAAGTCTGTATATGTATATATTTGTTGAATGACTTGTAATGTTATCGTTTATGCTTATTGGTCTGTATCGGAACATGACACCCCGAGTTTTGATTATATAATGAAAAATACATTTCTTTTATGAAATGCTTTGGTAAACATTGTTTTATCATGTTTTGTTTTTGGGAACAAATTCCGCAACTCTTTCAAATCAAAAGGATTTACTCTGAATTTATTTTAAAAGCATAAATGAAAATCGGTCTTTTCTGGCCGAGATTTTGGGGATGTCACAGTTGGTATCAGAGCATTAGTTTAAGCGAACTAGGAATTTGTAGGATTTCTAGACTTAAACTTAGAATGCTAAGTGAATTTTGAGATGTGTGTCTGTTATATTTTAGACACGAGCACTAGTTTATTTTAGGAAAGTTGCCTAAAATGCTTTATGTGCTAAATGTTATATGTTGCCATATATGATATTATTTGTTCGGATCTATGGTCTGTTGCCGACCGGATCTAGAAACTTTATGTGTGTAGGATTCTAAGCGTACGTCTACGATATTAGAACTAGCATGTAAACGTTTCGGAGTGATAAGGATGATTTGAATATCTATCGTGAATGAGGATCTAATTTCACCTTATTCGGTGTGTAGATCAAAAATGGTGAGAACAAGAAGTGGAGTTGGAAATGCTGATGAAAACAGGAATCAACCACCAGTGATTGAGCAAAGACCTGTCGTAGCAGCAGCACCTGAGCCAATAACATGGCTGGTGTGCAAATGATGATTCAAACAATGTTGGATCGTCAGATGGATGAAACTAGACGGTTGCTTCAACAGAATCGTGAAGAACTGTCAATTCGTGTGGAAGAGCCTGAATTAAATGAAGGGCACTCGGAAGGTGGAAACTTCAGTGGATCAGTTGGTCAAGCCAACCCACCGATAGTTAGGCGAGACAACCATGATGGAAGGAATGATGGAATGGGATGCAAGTACAAGGACTTTCTAACTTGCAAACCATCGACCTTCAATGGAAAGGAGGATCCGATAGGAGTGATGGATTGGATCTCTGAAATGGAGTTAGCCTTCATGACTTGTGGCTGCAGAGGCAAGTTGCAGACTATCTATGCAGTGCGTCAATTCCGAGGTGGAGCCGTTCGTTGGTGGAACACTCTAGGGAAGACTTTAAGCCCAAATGAGCCACTGCAATTGTCATGGGCAGAGTTCTTGGTGCAGTTCAAGCGCAAGTTCTGCTCGGCTCAAAATCTATTGGAGCTAGAGAACAAGTTTCTGACACTAACGAAAGGCAGCATGTCAGTTGATGAATACACCAATAACTTCACCGATAAGATGGAGTTTGCCTTGCGTATCGTTCCAGACGAGCTGACAAAGGTGGACCGGTATGCGAAGGGACTCCCATGGGAGTACGAGGTGCCAGTACGTCAGGCACATACTTAGAGGCAGCTATCTGGGCTGCCAAGTCTGTTGAGAACATGATAAAGGGGAGAACCACCAACAAGGTTGAGGTTGGTGAGAAGAGAAGTTTGAGGGAACATCTGGTTCCGGTAAGAAAAGCAAATTTTCGAAATCTGATTCGAAAAAGTTTGGTGGGGGAAAAGGAGGCGAAGCGAAGTGGTGTGAAAAGTGTAAGAAAAAGCACTTTGGGAAATGTAGCGAGGATGTAACCTGCTACAAGTGTGGAAGGTTGGACATTTTGCCAATGAATGTCCGAACAACAAAAGGATGTGTTTTGGTTGTAATGAAGAGGGGCACATTTTGAAAGACTGTCCGAAGAAGAAGGAGGCAGCTAAGCCCAACATTCCACCAAAGCCAAAGGCGAGAGCATTCCAGATGACACTGGAAGCTGCTAAGATGAAGCTGATGTCGCTTCAGGTACCTTTCTCGTAAACACATTGCCTGCCCAAATTTTATTTGATTCTGGAGCCAACTACTCCTTTATATCGCATGAATTTGGTAGAAAACTAGCTTTGCCTGTTGATAGACTAGATAATGCTTTATTAGTCGAAGTTGCTAGTGGCAAGTTTGTACCTGTTAGCCATCGTATGAAAAACATCTTAATCGACCTTAATGGGAATAAGTTTCACGAAGAATTATTAACTATCGAACTTAATGGTTTCGACATCGTGTTGGGAATGGATTGGCCTAACGCCAATGATGCCGAAATTTTATGCAAGAAGAAGATAGTTAAAGTAAGCCCGCCTGGAAAAGATTCGTTTATGGTGTATGGGGACAAACGCCGAGTGAATTCTGGAATCATTTCCCTAATGAAAGCCAGAAAGTGTTTGACCAAGGGATGTACATCATATTTAGCATTCGTGATTGATGCTAAGAAGGAAAAGAAGGTGATGCAGAGTATTCCAGTGGTGTGTGATTATCCGGAAGTATTTCCCGAAGATCTTCCTGGATTACCACCTGATAGACAAGTAGAGTTCAGAATAGACTTGTTACCAGGAACAATGACAATTGCAAAAGCACCTTATCGATTAGCACTGACGGAGATGAAGGAGCTGATGATGCAACTTCAGGAGTTATTGGAAAAAGGTTTCATTAGACCTAGTTCATCACCCTGGGGAGCTCTGGTGTTATTCGTGAAGAAGAAAGATGGAAGTATGAGGATGTGCATCGATTACAGAGAGCTGAACAAGGCAACAATAAAGAATAGATATCCGTTGCCGAGGATTGATGACCTATTTGATCAACTACAAGGTTCGAGCTATTTCTCGAAGATCGACCTAAGGTCAGAATATCATCAGCTAAAAGTAAGAGAGCAAGATATCGAGAAGACCGCGTTCAGAACTAGATATGGACACTACGAGTTCTTGGTTATGTCGTTTGGACTAACCAATGCTCCGGAAGCATTCATGGATTTAATGAATAGGGTTTGTAATCCGTTCCTTGATAAATCTGTGATAGTGTTCATAGACGACATTCTGATTTACTCAAAAAGCCAGGAGGAGCATGGCAGACACTTGCGAGAAGTGTTAGAAGTCTTGAAGAAGGAGAAGCTGTATGCTAAGTTCTCCAAATGTGATTTTTGGATTCGTGAAGTCCAATTC